TTTGGAGTTATATCTAATAAAATATCAATTAAAAATAAAATATTAAAAATTTGAAATCACTTGAAATTCAAAAAGCATTTTTATTTAATTTTAATTTTAAATAAAATAGGATTTAATTCTAAAGAAAATAAGTATTTACTTGTAAAGTTTGGATAAAAACTTAATTTTATATCAATTTTTGAAGTTTCTATTAATTAAAACCTATTAAAACTAATTAGATTAATGAAAATAAAAAAGAAACGCATCACTGCAATAGCGGGCCGCGCTATGTTCTCTTTTCTGTCGGATCAAAGTTACGGATATGGGGTGGCCACACGACAACATGAGAGCTTTGATATGTGAAGAGAATCAATGGGGATATTATCATTTGCGTTAAAATCAGCTTTTCAAAAGCTATTTTAACCGTTGTATTTTGAGGTAGGGTTTAAAATATATCTCAATCTAAATGGTGGATTTATGTATTTTTGGATTGGTTGAGCTTGTGGACTATCCTCGTACACTTTCCTTGAAGAAACCAGTGGTTGAAATGGTTTGGATTGATGTGTATAGGCTTGGATGAAGAATATGGCTTGGTTCCTGAAGAACTCGCCGCCAGCACTAGTTGCGTTGTAAGTTTGAACAATGGATACGAAGAAGAGAATGCTAAGAGCTAAAAAAAAGGGAAATAGCTCTAGGGAGACTTGGAGGCTGTGATAGATGGGATTATATGAAAAGAGCATTCTTAGCTCATTTTAGGTCTAAGGCTTATGATGGATAGACCTAATCCATCAGACCCTTTGCTTTGATGAATGGCACACATCTAAAACAATTAGAGTGGCAAGGAAAGGTTGGGTTAAGCCTCTTGGCCATTTGAGGCTTTTAGGGAGGGGGGCATTCCCTTCCTTTTTAGGCTAAAATAAGCTCTGAGCTTTGTTAGGATAGCTCTTAGTTAGTTTTTTTGCTTTGTTTGGGATGGCCAAGTCAACAAGTTTAGGAAAGGAAGAAGGTTTCAAATGGGGTTTGACTATTTATGAAAGCTTGAGTGCTTGTTGATTGGTTTTACCAGTCAACCTAGTCAATGTGAGCGGATGTGGTAGGTACCTAGAGGGTTTGAGTAAATGGTGGGATGGATTCAATAGAGTTTGAGGGGATAAGTCAAATGCATAAGCAAGTTAGTGAGTGTGCTATGAGGTTTGACCAAGTTGTAATAAGTTGACTTGGAATATGCTTAGGTCATGAAATATAATTAATTTGAGGATTAATGGAATCTAGGTGACTTGGGTTGACCTCAAGCAATGATTTGGTCACATACTGAATTGATTTGACCAAGATTGACTCATGTTGACTAAGTTAACTTGTTGACTATGATTGGGTTTGAGAAATATTAGATTACTAATTTGATGGAATTCAATGGATTTGATACACTGTTATTGAAGTTTGAATGTGTGACCAAATGCATTTGAGGATTTGACTGCACATGAAAATTTGACCAAGTCAAATCCAAAGTAGTTTGACTCATAATATGTTCAGAAATGTTCAAGGCATGCGATTGAATGGTTTTGAATGTTTGGAGGCTTTCACTGGATTGGATTTGATTGAATAAAGTGATTGGTCTCAAAATAGGCCAGGTTTGATCATAGTTGGACCCAATTGACCAAGTCAACTATTGATTTGGTCAAAGTATCCAGTCAAGCCCAAATTACTAAGAGAAGTGATCAAATGAGTTTGGATGAGTTCATGGTTGATTTGGGGCTTAACTATTTATGATAAGGTTTATGGTTAATCTGGTCAACCAGGTCAAATCAAAGGCTAAGTTTAGGCTCAAAAAGTTTGGTTTGATCAAAAGACATCAATAGAGATGGCCCCATACACTGGGATGGTCATTTGGTCCAAAATGACCATTTGGGCCCTTAAGGGGACATTTGGTCAACAAAGGTTGACTTGGTCAAATTAAAACTTGGGTTTAGTTCAATGCACTCCTATTGATGTTTAGGATATATTGGAAGAGGTTTCAAAGTTTGATTTGACTAGGCTATATTGAGTTTTGGAGAAAAGTCTAATTTTTCCCTTAAAGGGCATTTTGGTCATTTTAAGCCCTGGTCAACCATTGGTTAAACTGGGTCCAACAAAATACATTTTACTAGTCAACATGTCATAACAAGATATTGACATGGTCAAGGATTTTTGGAGAGGCCCGAAGGCCAAATTCAAGGTAGTGGCACATGTTATAAATATTTGAAGGTTTTATAGTATTTGGAAATTAATTCAGTTTATGGTGTTAGGAGTATAATATTGAGCTCAAATCTATAGGGTAGACCCTAGGGATATGTCTAATCAATATGCAATTGATATATCATGAATCATATGTCATTTAACAATGTTTCAAGGTGATTGAAAAAATCATCCAAAAAGGGTTTCAAGACATAGGCCATTTACCTTAGATTTTGACCTAGAATTTTGGATTTGAACTGACCTTTTGGTTTGATTGATTGAATTTAAATTATCCACCTCAATCACACTTAAATGAATGATTGAGATTGATTGGGTGATTAAAGTTTGATTAAATGTTGGATTGAAGTCTAGAGTTTGAAGGCTGGATTGGAAGATGAATTGAGATTTGATTGGGGTCTTGATGGTTGACAAGTGTATGATTATCAACAATTAGACCACCAAGCAGGAGTATGGATAGGTCATGATGACCTCATACAGAAACGAGGTCAACCTATACCTTATGATGTTAGAAAGTTATCTAAAGACGTCATTTTCTCACATGTATCCAAATGTTCATTCATATCAATGTTCTTTTATAGGTTTCAATAGAAAGAAACATAAAATTATTAGTAAAGTATGTACTAGGAGGAAATATATGATGAGGAGCAAAACAATGTAAAGATGATAATGACGTTGGAGTGTCATTAATAATGCTTCCTTTTACTTAATATTGAGGAAAGGAAATATGCATACAATATAGAACCGTTTGTGGAGATTGATATTAGAAAGCAAGTCCAATAAGTTCTATGAGATGAATAATTTGACATTGTAGGGCCTTGAAGTAAATGTCAAATTGATCATGGGTGACAAAGTCACCAGATCTAAAGGCTTCTCTAGATTGGAGCTTAATCATTGGTTGGATATAAAGATGTTGGAAAGTTGGTCTAAAATTGAGTTACAACCACCATAAAATTTTTTTTTTTACCAATGGTCGTGTGATTTGACAAATCTTAGCATAAATAATTAGGAGTTAACCGAGATGACAAATATCAAGTTTTCCTGAGTTTCATTAAGAAAATTGGGAAAACCATTGCAACTAATGTTACTCAATCAAAGTAAATAAAGAATTAAGGCAATGAAGTACTAAATAATAAAATATAATATTTAAACCATCTTAGTTATTGATCTACATCTACTATAAAAGGGTAGCAATACATATATTATTATGATATTGAGAGTATTAAAACCAACAAAAACCAATTAGTTTAAAGTGCATGAGCTAGAATGAGTTAGAAGGCATGGTATTTTAAAAGCAAAACTTTTAGGCTTTAGAATTGAAGAGAACTAAAAAGACATTTTTTAGAACTTTTAATTCTGATGTTATAAGTGTTAAGCTAGTTCTTTGTATCCTTTGCCATGCTAAAATCTAAAAGAAGTGAACTCGACATTTATTAACTTTTCATTATAAGGCCTCAATATGTTTGTTATTTCTTGGTTAACAAATGTTGATTTGAATGTATAAATGGTCTCCTCAAAGTTTATGCTTTTTACAAATAAATACCCTCGTTGGGATGAAGATTCTTTGAGTATAGGTAAAAGCCTCCCATGATTGAGAAACATTTAGTGAGACTAAGCTGTTACAAACATCGAATAACAGAGTTTTTAAATAGATAAATTGTTTTATTTGTTAGCAATTGTCATGCCACACAGAATTAAGATGCAACTATTTAATAGACGTGAAAATCAAATAGCATAATTGGTTTCCCATCCTATTAGAAGAATGAACAGGTTGATTGTCCACTATCACATGCTAATGAACAACATGTTACATTTGATACATATTGCATGGAATCCTCTCCTGCCCGGAGAATAACCAGACTTCTAATTTTCCATACCATCAATTGCACAATATCAATTTGTGAGTAACGCCCAACATTATCTGTTCCTCCACTTGGTAGTCTGATATCTCCTCATATTAGGAGAATGACCAAGCCGACTATCCTCTATGCCCTAACTTATAACACCCACTAATAATTATTATCTAACACTCATCATTTTATGAAAACTATAACACATCAAATCCTCTCTAAATAATATCAAATGAGACATCTTTTATGTTTAATGTTTATTACAATATATAAATGTCTTATATAATTATGGGTAAAGATATTTGTTGTAATCTTTGACACATATATACTATTATAATTATTTCACAGAGCTAGACTCCATGATTTTCCCCTTCCCAATTAATATCGTATTTCTTATGTTTTGCTTTCAACTCAAGATTTTTATATAATACTAAGGCGTTAAATTATTTCTACATATATAAATTTTTTATCATATAACATGGTTAGACGTTTAAATCATTAACAAATATAGAATTTGTTATGTTCGATTAATGCTTGATTATTTGTCAAAGTGGATAAAAATCTTAACAAATAAATTTGAACAAAATTTAAAAGTTAGGTTATTGTTAAATTTCTAACTTTTAAATTTGACTTAGACTCAATAAAAATAAGAGAAATTTATTCACATATATACCATTATATTTTTTTATTTAAAAAAAAACATTTTTTCAAAATAAACTACAGAACTTGTGCATTTGCACTTGCTATAATTAATAAGAAATTAATAAAAATGAAAAAAAAAGAAGAAATTTTATCTTGTTATGTAACCATCATAATTGATATTATTATAAACCGAGCGAAGAGAACGTTAGTTTTCTAAATAAATAACCTTTAGAGGTTAAATACCCAGAAATTAATAATAAATTAATTAATTTGAACTATTGCAGCCTTTCACTGGACAGCGTACGTCCTACTTCCCATCTATCCTTAAATCAGCTTGCGGAGAAGCGGAGCAAAGGATTTTTGGGGAGGAAGCGATAGAAATGTCGACATTTGTCTACCCTTCTCTACTCTACCCTCACCGTCTTCCTCGTCAAGGTAACATTTACTTCCCAATCCCCTTCTTTCCCGGCTTTCTCACTGTATTCTCTTTCGATTCCTTCTATGAAATTTGTTTTCCTGCTATGAAAATTTACCAATGAGTAAAGAAAACAACTAGCGGAGCAGAGAACTCTAAACTTGTTGTTCAGCTATGAGTATGGCCTCAAGGACCGTCTTAGCTTGCTTAGGAGAAGAAGCTTCTCGATGGCTTCCCATTGCGTGCTCTTATATTGATTGCATTTGGAAGGAATCGTTTGAAATCCAGAAGCACCAATAAAACTTTTTTTTTTTTAATAATACAATACTTTTTTCCTTCGATTTATTTTGATGGAATGTTTTTCAGAAGTGATGATTGTTTGATCCGAAGTTGTCTGGTGGAAATGTGCTGAACCTACTCGGCTTGCGAGGCAAACAAAGCCAGAGAGGAGGAAAAGAAGATCGACTCAAGTTTCTATAATCTCTCAAGTGATTGCTATGAAGGACCCGGTTGGACCTTTCATGAGACAGTAAAGGAAGGAGGGAGGGATAGGGCGAGGGAATGGAGAGGGCGCGGGAGAAGGATTTCTTGATTTGAAAAGAAAACCCAAAAAAGATTTTTAAAAGATGCCTCACACTTGATCCCCAATTTATAGGCTAGATCCACCGTCGGCACTAAATATGGCTATACATGAAACAAATTATGGTAAAGGTAGTTGGACATTTGTTATAGCCAGCTATCCGGCTGTGCGGTTTCTCATAAATGAATGTTCTTGGATCTCTTGAATAAGTTTTCTTGGTAAGCCATATGAAGAACTCTTCGAGTATTATGGATGAACATTGCTAGTCAAATAGATGTCGAATTCTTGGACAAGTAGGAATTGTGAGTGTGCGCTATGAGGAGTTCATCTTATGTTATTTGCATTGTGCGCGAAAAATTAGCAATGCCTCTTCCAAAGCATTGGGATACTAATCGGACTTCTTGTTTGTTTCAACCCATTTCTTGGTAGTTGGTGCCCCCTCTCTGGAGTGATTTCTAGCTTATCTTGTTTGTGTCCAATGCAATTACATGGAGGACTTCACCTTTCCAGTTGAGGGGCCACTGCTTTTGTTTCTTTTTCTGTGTACTTCTTACAGCTAGTTTATATGAATTGATACAGAATGTAATAGTCTTCCCTCTTTTTGTTTTGTTTTGTTGAGGGAGGTCCCTCATAAAAGACTCCATGATGGCATTTACTCACTTGTACTCTTTTTATGTTTTAATTAATGCAAAATGCAACTTTCAATGATAAGAATTGTGAGTATTGGCCAATTGTGTTGACTTCCAAGCACCATACCATAGATTCAGTTTCATTGATAGATGCTATTTAGTTTACTTGGCTTAACCGAACGTCTCTAGGTTCTTCACCATTATTCGAGAACTTATCATATATGATTTTTCATAAATGGCTTGTAGCTTTAACTCAATTTAAGTCGATTCAAACATCTTGTCTCAAGCAATTTGGTTCAAGTATAGATTTGATCGGCCCATTATTGTTGGAATTGACTTGATGTACCTGATCTAAACTGATAAGAGTGTATATTAGTCTCCTGATTCTTTTAGCTTTTTAAGAAGCCAAAAATTTTAAAAGAATGGAATAACAATGCTATAATATATTAGGGTGCCTCGAGAAGTGTGATATGCAATCATTTAATCAAATTGTGAATTTTAATAAGCATTATATGACTGTGTTAGTGACACTTATCATTCCCATCATCTTAGGAAAAAGGTATATGCATGTAAATATAGTTCACTTTTTTATAATACTGGCTAGGGATACAACATATCCATGCTTGTTAAAAGAAAAAAATGGAAATGATTGTATCTTGATTGATATAAAATTCTAGATGGTGCTCCTGAGGCTGTAGTAAATGAAATGGTTTAAAAAATAAAGTTAAAAATAATGCGGGGTGTGGTGGGGGTGGGGTGGTGTGGCGCAGTTCTAGATCTATATTTATTTTAAATATTCATATGTATGTTAAATGAAAACTTTTATAAATAAGCATGACTACATGACTACTTATATGCATGTTCACTTGCTATACTATAAATTGTAATTTTCCACTAAATTTATTAGTAAAAACTCAAATTGTTAAATTGGAAATTTTTAGATAAATCTCATGTTGATTAAATGGCTGAAAGAGAAGGATTTATGTATAAAAGAAGAGTATAAAATGAAAATTGGTAAGAATTATTTTATCATATATTTAGATTGGAAAAATTATTTTAGTGGCTCTTTAGTTGTATTTGGATATTAGTCTATTGAGTAATTATTGTTATTGAATGAATTATAATATCCGTTCGATTGTCTGTTCCTGCCTCATTAACTTGAATCTCTGAGCTGGGTTTTGACAAAAATAAATGAAATACTCATAATAATATTTATTTTGCATAGAGGTAAATGATGAATTCATATGTGTAACTGCTAGCATGACAGTCATGCATATTATTCTCTTTTCATTGGCATTGATTTTTGTGTCAGGCATAAAATATCATACTTTGCTTTATGCTTAAGCTCACTATACACATTATTTAAAGAAAATCAAGGAGAAGGTGGAAGAGTGATTTGATCTTGTGATATTATGAACATATATAGAAGTTTTGGACAAAATAATATATGTGCATATGCTAGAAATATCAATGATGAATCATGACTTATCAATGTAAGACTTAAACTTTTATGAAATGAAGCTAAATATTGTCTCTTTTTTATAAATATTATTAGAAAGTTGAGTAAATAAAAACATAGCAAGCATATTTGTTCAATTACATGTATTATCAAGCATGCAAAGTTAAATTTCCCAAAGATAATGAATTTATGAATTGATGTAAACTTTAATGATGTGAATTATTTTGAAAATATTTATAAAATCCTTGTTGAGGGAATTATATTTCTCTATTTGTCATACCTAGCTTACTATGACCTGCTACAATGTATAGATTTTGCTAGTTGGGTGGGACATCGTTCAATTCTAAAGTACTCAAATTGGATGGTTTCTACTTTGATCTTAAGGAAGTGCTTTTGCATAGCTGTATCTTTAGGCTTCATTTAGGACAATTTTCTTACTGTTTTGTTTTTTCATATCACAACCACAGTTTCTGTTAGGTCAATGCTTTTTCATCGCTTTAATGAAAATTTTGTGCTGGGAAGCTGCTTTCTACAACAATTTTTTTTAAAAATTACTTTATCCAGAGTAGTTTTACAACCACTTTTATAAAAAACTATAGTCGTCCCAAACGAACCCTTAATTTAATATTCGTTGTTAATTTGATTTACAACAAGTTGTGAATTGAGAAGATTGAGAGATAATATGCACTGACTCACTGTGCAAATCTCAAACCAACCAAATGAGTCTCATACTTGAGCCAATTGTTTTCTGCCTTAAAACAAATTTTCCGGCTTGGCAATCAACAACACTTGTTGAGCCTTTGAAGACAACATCAATGCCGCTACTTGGCTCCCAAAGGGTCCATTTATATGGATCAACTGGTGTAGTTCTTAATAAATTTTATATAGTCTTGGATAGTAAAGTAGGCGATGACTTGCACTTTCAAGACGTTTATCAACATGTAAAAGATTTAAAATTTATTTAGTCTAATTGTTCGCTTAAGAAGTTAGTCAAAATGTTTGGAGTTTACCACAACAATTCTCAATGGGTGGTCAATGACGATTTGGATCGAGTCTTTAATTAGACAGTTGTCTAGTGCTAGAGTAAGCTTCTTTATGATTGCATATTTCAGTTCTGTACCCTTTATGGATTTTGACAAGATAGTAAAGTGCACTTTATTTTCCTCTATCTTCTTTGATGAAGATTGACCTTCCGTCTCCTCACCTACACCAAGATAAAGGATTAACTCGTCGCCCAACTATGGGCTCTATAGAAGAGGTGTGAAGAGAACATCTCCTTGTCATGAGTGAAGGCTTGGTCACATTCTTCCGTCCACTTGAAGTGGTTGGTATTGCTCTACGCTTATTACCACTGATGGTTTTTGTTTGGATAAATTGCCTTAGCTTTTAAAATTGTTCGAGTTAATTCAAGCACATTGGCTCAAGTGATTTGGTTCAACAAGTGAATCTATTCGACCAATTCTAACTAGAATTTACTTGATGCACTCAACCAATTCAGATAAATGTGGGTGTACAATGATCCTTTTGCAAATCAATGTTAATATACTGGTGGAAAGGAAGATGGTTCATCATTTAGGTTTATAGAAATATGATGGTATGCTAAATCATTATGTTTCCAAGTAATTCCAGGACGCCTAACATAAGCCTTGTCAAAATTTATTTAGGATGATGGGAAGCTCCATATATTTTCAAGATAGCTCTAAATATTTTTGTTAGATGTTTCTTATAATTTATGAGAAATTAATTAATAAAATGATAAAATTTTCTTTTAAATATTTAGAATTCTCTTGCAAAATGTTCATACCTTATTTTTTATATGTTTAAAGATACTTTACATAGTAAGCAAATTTTTGCTAATGTATCTTGAACAAATTTTCATGCTTATTGTAATACAAGGAAATGTTGACTATCATAAAAGTAGCAAGAGACATCAAGAATCATTCAGGAAATCGACTCACCTATGCCAACTTTCCTGAACAATCGATTTCCAGGCACACTGAATATTGCAAATGCCATCTTTGCATTTCATGGGCTTCTTTTTTTTGTGTTAAAGATGCTGCCGTTTCTTTTTGGATCATAAAAGAAATAATTTCTATTGGTGATATTTGAGAGGCTGAATACTAGAGGGCCACCTAAAGGATAATTTCTATGAGTAGTTGTAGCTGTTGGGCTGCCATGTATGATATGGCAGCTGCAGCAGTAATTGGGGAGCGTCCCTTGGCCTCAAATTGATGACATGGAAATGTACAACCTACAAATTGCTAACTTGAAGCTTACGACCTATGCTGATTTTGTAGGTTTTTATTATAATTTTTATTGTCTTATTTTTCTTTCCTTTCTCACTTATCTGTG